GTGAGGACAGGCTGCTTTCAGCGCTGCATCCCTCAGCATCAATTAGCAGGTTGTGCCATGACTGGCTCCTGTTAGGGGTGAAGTGGAGCAGCTAAGAGAGGTAAACACACCTCTTCCCAAGGGCTTGCAAAGAGCTGGACGAGGGTAGCAATGTCACACTGCCTGAGCCACAAGGACCCGCCTGTGCCCGACTCCCAACATGCTCCAGCAGTCATTTCCTACTTTCTCCTTCAATTTCCTGGCCGCCGTCTCACGAAGAGAACTGACAGTGAACGGTTCACCGGGCCGCATAGGCGACCGTTTTTCTGCCGCTTCACCCACCTGGGTGTGTTTTTAGCACGGCCAGTTCATCAGGTACATCCACCAGCTATCTTGTGTCTACTTCAACACATACAGCAAATTTGCTTTTGTTTTTTCCATTTCTTTAGCCTTTTGCAGAACAAGCCATGTACCAAGAAGAAACAGGCACATCGCTCTTGACTGCTTTTTCCTAACTAAAAGTTTTCATGCCAGCAAAAGTCGCCTTATAAAAGTAGATTTTGTTCCAAAACAACATATGAACACAGCAGTTTGCTCATTTAGGATGGCCAGCTTTGAAGTGAGATGAAAAACTACCTTGTAAAAATGAAGAACAAAAAGACTGTGGCTCATAACATTCACTCTTTACACCACTTGAAAATAAGAAGGCAGATTGGGAGAAGAGAAAAAAAAATAGGAATAAAATTATGAGAGTAATTGATTTAAGTCTGAAATTTCAAGATAATAGTCTGTTAGAGGTAATTTAAAAGATCAGCTAAGGTCAAGCTTATGACATACTTTGAATGGAAAAGATTACACTCTTTGTTGGGATGAAAACATTTTAATTTTATGCTTCTAAAAATCCATTTTACTGTTCATGTATGTTACTTAAATTACATTTGAAACCAGAATTCAAGGCCCAATTTGGAATTTGTTGTAAAGTTTCAAAACCTCAAAAGTTAAAAAAAAAAAAAAAAAAAAAAAACATTTCAAACACTCCAATATTCCTGAGCATGTTGCACAGAAACTGGAGACCATTTTTACCCATTATTAAAGAGAAGGCATTTAACCACTTCTGATAAAAATGTAGAGCTCATTTAAAATTGGTTGCTTTCAACATTTCGAGTGAGGCTGCTTGCTGTTACCCTATTTCCAGGAATAGTTTTAATGCATGTGTGGGACCATGTTGTAACACCCACTTGTAGCTGTTTACTTCAGGTGAAGTTCAACACATTAGGAGTGGAGATGCTACCTCGAATCTTGGTCCTGTCTGACTGTAAAGATTTGCTTCACAATCCGTTTTTATTAGTACCCTGGCAACCACCGTGGAGGCATGTAGCTTGCATGTTCTCCCTATGCATGAATTCTAGTTACTCTGGCTTTCTTCGAAGCATGTTAGCATAATTAGCATCCCAACAGTGCACGGACGATAAAAGGGTATATACAACCCTAACCCAACCCTAATGCATTTTATTAGTCAAGAGGTCAACCAACTTAAGTTTCTATGTTACTTCACAATTGACATTATTCAGACATTAGTGTGGATATTTTTTTATCCTGTATGTTTGGCTCTTTTAAAGTTGTTGGCTATACACTCATTTCAAAAAACAACTCCGAGTGTGTGAAAATTACATTTGTGCCCACGGCGAATCTATGTAAACTAATGAGCTGCCAGTCTTATTTCCATGTAGCTCCCTATATCCAGCCCGCTGAAAGAGGGTTTACTGTTCATTGGGCGCGGTCAGTGGCCCCGAGGCGTAACCTGAGATGTGAACAAATATTTCACAGGACTGAGATTGAACGCAGAGGCTATAGGTCTTTAAGGAAGCAGTAATGTAAAGCGAGGATGATTTGTATCAAACCGGTTATGCATTCTGATGAAAATTTGTCCCGACAGAAAGAAAGAATTCAGGTCAAAATGATAGGTTTTCTTTTATTGTATGTTTTCCCAAACTTAGCTTTGGAATCAAATGTTAAAATGCCTTAGTAAGTAAACAGGATTTTCTTAAAAACAAACAAAAAAATAATAATTTGTACTTAAAGAGACAACATAAACTTCTGAAGAGAGCAACTTCTCAGGTCCATGAAGAAGGTAACTAGACAAGCAAAATGAGAGCTGAAACAATTAACGGAATTAAATTGATTATTTGTGATTCATCAATTGTTGAAATAATCAACTAGTTTAGTAATCGATCAATTGTTGATTGGACTATACAGACCCAAACAGGCCATTTGATGAAAAGAATAAACACATTCAGAGCAGAAATTAAGTCAAATATGTCTTAGGAAAAACTCCTCACATGGTATAGTTTTACCTTCACCTGTTTTAGCTTTACTAAAGGAATGCTACAATAGTTTTATGTAATAATATTACTTAAAATATATTTTTTATATATATAAAAAAGAATTGAATTATTAATTTAATGTATTTTTAATATTGTGGTTAAACGAAAAGTATATAGAATGTGCCATTTTTTAATCAACAGATTAATCGATTACTCGAATAATTGTTAGTTTCAGTCGTAAACAAAATAAGACAAAGGGAACTCAGACAACAAAGCAGGATATTATAACAGATGCTGAGTCGGTAAAATGTGTTCCTGCTGTATCAAATCAGATTCGAAAGCAAAAAAAAAAATCTGACTTTTTTATTGTTCTTTTCAGGAAGTGTGAAAAAAGCAAAGCAGAAATGTTGCAACGTCCTCTTTGTGGCAGCAAGTTTTTCTCTATCAGCAGAGACCCGTCACGCCAGGGATACCTCCACAGTGAGCATGGAGGGCCATAACACGCAAAGGTAGAAATTATTTTTGCTTTTCTTCCAAAGAATCGTTGGTCAACATAAAATGAAGTTGAGTGTGCATGAAATTCTAACAAAATCTTTTCCCTTTAACGTCTACGCTTTCACTATTAAAAACATATGAAAAAGTGGAACCTCTACGTTTATCCAGACAAATTAGGTTTTTGCGTTTAGCGCCATATCTTTCAACAGAGCACACACACACGTGTCACTGAACTCCATACTGCAATATGGTAAGTCAAACACATGGTGGTGGTGGGCAGCTCTGATGGAGCCATTAGCAGTCACCAGATGACTCACGCCACAGATAACCACTATCCGACTTATCGAGAACCTTCCTGACATCTCACACCGCCGCAGTAAACCAACAGCCACCTTTATCAACTCCGAACACCTCACTATGCGAAACATGTTGCTTCATGGCCTGACTACAAGCTTCTGTGTGTCGCATTAAGAACACAATGTGTTGCTTAATTGAGAAGTAGAGATTAGACGATGCTTGGTTGGTCCCCTTCATTTACTCTGCTGCCCCTTAATAAAATCCAGTGCAACCCATAGTCGTCAAAAGTGACCTAATTGCCCAGCAGCCTGAGCCTAGAGATCCCCACTCTGACCCACGGCGGTGGGAGGATCATGTTTTTGAGACCATCTTTTGAGCCACAGTGGCAGGAAAGAATACTTTTCAGATTTGTAATTGTAAAATACTTTTGAAAACCATCCATAAATTCCCTTCCACTTCACAATTTTACACCACACTGTGTTGGACGATTACACACACAAAAGCATTCCAATAAAACACGCTGAAGTTTTTGGCTGTAATGTGGAAAAGATTTCAAGGTGTGTGTCTACTTTCGTGAGGTACGGTGCAGAGTTTTAGCATGACTTCTTCTTAGAATAAATCAAAGATTTAAAATATTATTTTAATTATATTCCAAAATAATATTTTAACTTTGAAAATTTATTTTATAAGAAAAAAAATTTAATTATAAAATAATTTAAAAAATGTATTTATAAAAGGAACACACATGTTCCTTTTTTCTCATTGAAGGAATATATGCGACAAAAAGAAACCCTCAGAGTAAAAAAAAAAAAGATTGTTAAAGAATTCTAATTTAAAAAGGAAGACTTTCTAAATGAGAGCAGTAGGACAACACTGTGGACTGAGTCAGGCGGTCAGTCAGCACCATGGACAGAAGCCTCTTTGGCCACAATTTGAACTCTTGGGGCCCCAGAAACATCATGGGGCCGAGAGAAAACTCTGGAAAGCTCACTGTAAATGAGAATCAGCCTATGTAAGCTAATTTAGGGCTATTTACATAATCCATTGTGCATCTTGTCATCCCTCTACAAACGACCAAATAAACAAAACCTGAGGAAATATTGGTTGATGTAAAATATGGGAATGAATGGGGAAGCTACGAAGTCCAAACACCAACTGGCTCCTTGTGTTTTTGTTTGCTTTTTTAAATCGGGAGTACTGCCGGACATTTCCCTGCGGAAGTTACTCAACACCGTTTACTGCCTGGTTATGTAACTTTTCTATCTCAGTAAAGCCATTTAACATGATAAGATGCAACATGCTGAATCACGCTCCTTTACATGTCCTTTGACTGGATTATTGCTGCTCTTTTGCTGTGTTTGAAGCAGTCCTTCAGTGTGTCTGTGCGTAAGCTGCTTTTGGTCTCTTTAAATTCTAAATATAACCGAGTCTAAAGCTGATGGCCAACCGTCCCGGCTAATGCGACGTTCACGGCCCGCCTCTGGGCTCCGTCAGCGCTCTGTGTGTAAACGCAAGCTACATCAAAGTCATAAACAAATGCGCCACATTCGTCTGCGTTTCGTTTAGTAGCTTCTGCTCATGTAATGGCAAAACCTGTAATGTCGTTCGTATTGTAGGAGACACTAAAAACGTCGAAAGTCTTGCTTTCTAATTAGCGGTTGGCTAATTAGAAAGCAAGACTTTGTTGTTCTGAAGCACCTCGCTGTTTGGGGAAACTTCACCCTCTAAAGGTTTTTCTGAAAACCAAAAGAAAATGATACGACAGACAAACACAATATCTTCTTGCTCGTAGCGTAAGCTTAAAATTAAGTTGCCGTTTTTCGTCCCCAGTGCTAGAATCTCCCACAGCTCCTGAACTCAGCAGCTTACTTGTCAACGCTGCTGAGTTTTCCCACGGACACCCACCTTGTTGAGGTGGGGGTTCCGGATGACATCGTAGCCCTTCTTCTTGGTGAACACGAGCATTTTCCCCTGGTCTTCGGACTTGTGCATCTCCGTTTCCACGGACTCTCGTCTGACCTGTCCGCGTGCCATGTTGTCGCCTCTTTAAATAGAGCCGCTCTGGTTGAACTGTTGTGAACTCAACAAGTGGACGCGCAGGTCCGGCCGCGTCGCTCTGGTCGCACGTCCGCCACGGAGGGGGGGGGGGGGGGGGGTTAAGACGAGCAGGAGCCTCCTTATCAGTGGAGCTGTCCACTAAAGGTCAGGGGGTGAGCCAACAGGAGCCTGTCACTGGCACCACTAAATGGTCGCTCAGGAATCACCCTGGAGTTGTTTGAATAACTTCAGCCCAAGTTTGCTGTTCCATTCAAATTTGCAGCAGAGGTCATAAATCAACATGAAAGATTAGCTAGTGCTTTGCAAAAAACAAAAACACAAGTTTCCCCACACTGCTAAACTTGTCACACGACTGCTACCGACTTCTAAACATTTTTGGGGATTTATGTAAAAAAGTGATTGCAAAATTCAAGTTTATTCTTATTCCATATTTCAACAATTATAGTGGTATAAATGCTTTGTACTACAACACAACAGCAAGTAATGAAACAAGTAACAAATTATTTGTTTTGTCATTAAAAAATAATTATTACATATGCACCAAAAATGGATCAATGTTCCAGTTTTTTTTTAAATCAAACACAACTCTAAACAAGTATGTTTTTAGTCTTTATATATATAATAAAGGAATTCTGTGTTTCGACTGTTTTGCAGTTTTCTGGAAGTTTGTTCCAGATTTGTGTGAAATACAAAGTGAATGCTGCTCCTGCGTGTTTGTCTGCGACTCTGTGGGATGGACTCGAGCCACATACTGTACATACCGTTATGAATTCATAATGTTACACAGTTGCAAATTGGAAGAAAAAATGATTGATAATTTTAAAATTCACACTGTGTAGAACCACGTCCCGCAACAGCTACAGCTGCAGGTTCATTTTTAAAAGGTATGAATATTGCTATCACAAAAACAAAGTTGGAAGCTTCTTTGCAAGATTTTCTTTCGTTTGTGCCAATCTATCTTCCGTTAACTTTTAACAGCTTAACAGAGTCTCCACACCATGACACTCCCACTTCATCCAGACAACCTTTTCCCACGTGTTTATTCTGTCCCCTGTGCTTCTTTCACGGCGAACCGCAAATGTAACTTCTCGTGGCTTTCTTTCAGCAATGAGTTTTCTTCGTGCGATTCTTCCGTACTGGTCAGGAAGAGGTGCTGCTTTTGTTTCTAAAACACAGAGTTTGAAAGATTGCAACACCGTAAGCCGTCGCTGCTTCCAAGGACAGCCTGCAGCCTTCACACAGTCGCAGCAGGACGGTGTTGCAACCACTGAGCCTGGCAATTTAGCGTGAACAGAAATGTTACTGAACCCTCGGCCCACGTGTGTGGTGACGATGAGGTGACTGATGATTCGAAGCTGCTCACTCTGCCGACATGGGAGCAGAGTCTCACATGCACGCAACAGATGATATGTTGAGGTTTTTTGCTCTCCGGCTAATCTTGATTATTTCCCCATCATTTTACAGCCTCTATAAACTTGCATAATGTTAAGAGAATTTGAACCCTGGATGTTGCACGTTGGGGGTTTCACGTGTGGGCAGGGTGTGAACGATCATTCTGATAAAGCTACGATGTCTGCAGGGTGGAAGGTGGACTCTCTGTTTTTATTCTAGGGGTTTTTTAATTTTATTTTCTTGATACAAATGAGAAGATCCTGCATGATCCTCGACAAGAAAGGTTTTGTTATACTGTGCGGCAAAACATAAGATGGAAAGTTAAAGTTTTGTGTGGTTGTTTTCTTAAATTTCCTCATCTTTAAGCAATTAAAAACTTACTGGATAGGAATGTGAATTTGATGGCTTTCAGAAACGGAAATTATTCTGTATTTTTAAGGTTGTTAGCATGCATTTAACATTGTATCCAAATATTCAGCTGTAAACATTAATGTTAGTGTGTGGGACAAACCAGTGGTGACTTTTACCAACATGTCAAACCTCAGTTGGCCCATGTACCCAAAAATAATATATATATATTGCTAAAGAATGTACAAAAATGCTCTGACAGTACTTTATTTTACTATGATGTAAAAAAAGTTGGGATGGTGATTTTTCTTTTCCTCAATCTGTCAATTTGAAGCTGCAAAGGAATTATTAAAATTCTCGATTTCAGCATGTGATTCCGATACATATCGTTGTGCTCCGCTGACAAGAATGAAAACAAGCAGGGATCCGTTTTCTTGCTTTCATGCAGCCGTGTATTAAAACCAGACAGCGCTGCAGAGCGGAGCCAGCAGGCTGCTGTCTGCGAACATATTTCAGTGATGCATCCACACATTAAATTAAAAGCAAAAGGGAGAAATGAGGAGGACGGGTACGATGCCGGTCCCTTGGAGACCAAGCCGTTTGAGGAAATTCCTGGTCGTCTCACATGGTTTCTGCATGAAGCGGTTCCACTTGGCCGCGGGCTAACTCACAGACCGCTTTTTCCTCATATCAAACTTCTTCCTCTGCCAAATGGATAAACCTGAATGGCCTCTGTGAAACCACTCTTGTTTCTCTGGGCTCTTATCGATGAGCCAAATACACCCATCTCGGTGGGAAAGTGGACTTTACAGGAACTTTTATAAGCACAAGTGCTCCCAAAAACTGTAACTACAGATTTCATTAGGACGCTAGGCTTATTTGTTAGATTAAAAGTACCTTTTAAAATTGACAACCGTTGAGCAGATATTACACATACTTTTCATCAATGCTACATTTCTGTGTTGACAATTTCTTTTTATTGATCTGGTGTAATCTAATTTTAAATGTCATGTTTTCATCAAGCATAAGTGGAAAATCATCAGAATTAACAGCAATAAAGTCCATCTGTAGTGCAGTGAACCTACATAATGTGTTTTATTCAGTGACAAAGGCCCAGAAATGAATGGACTGTTCAATAATATTCTAATTTATCGAATGGGTCTATGATGCACAAACATTTAGTCGCTTAAACAGTAAATATTTATCGCTCCAAAGGTTTTAGAAATCATGACATGATTTGAAAACTCACGTCACAAACTCGTTTCCATCTTATCAGCGCATTGAAAAGCATGTCAACTTGGTACTGGAAAGCTAAAATGAAGCACATTAGAGGAAGGTTGAAACCAGTCATGCCTCAAAGCACTCATCCACCATTTTGAATTTGTATTGTGTGTGAGGTGAAGGATGCGCAGCGTCAAGACGGGATTCGCCACACACTTTGCTGTGATGTTTAGTTTTACGTTTTTCCCACATTTCAGGAACAGTTGAGCATCTGGGAATGAATTTACAATTCTTGATGGGCGTGCCCGCTCAGACAGATATTTATTTATTAGGCGATTTCATCAGAAAGTAGGTCGGGTTGCTGCAAGTTGGAGCTACTCCAAGAACTCAGTTTGAATCTTTATCAGACTGAGCACTTTCATAGCGCAGCATAGGATTAAGTTATGTTGTTCTTTGCAACTTTAGTTGCAGTTTGTGTCTTGGAGTTGTCTTCAACAGGATCCAGGCTACGTCCACACAGCAGGTCCTGATGCTCAATTTTGCTGAAGTCTGATTTTTTATATTTTTTGCCAATGCGTTCACGCATGAACAATTTACATCCCCAAAGCGACCTGCATTCACAGAAGAAGAGCATCGACACTTCGGCCCGATATTTACCAAAGCAATAACGGACTGAGCCGTTCATGGATTGATTTTGAAGTTTATTCAGTATTGTCACAAAAACATAAGAACACAAAGAAATTGAATTAAAAGATTAATCGCGACGGCCTTAACTTAGAAGTCTGTTTGGATCGTAGAGTTAGAGTTATAATGAGGTAAGTTGCCTTATCTTTCTGGCAACTTATCGTTCCAGGCCATCAAAAAGCAAAGCAGACATTTACTAGTGTTATCTAGTGTTAAATTCAGCAAATGAACAATGAAAATATGTATTGCGCTTTGCTATTGGATTCAAATTGTGGAAACAACGCGCCCTGACTGACCAGGAGCGAGGGTGTGCACATCTTCAATGGCACAACGCTTTGGCAGGCCGTTTCTCTACGGCAGCCAGTGAAGGAATACATCTGCAAAGATTTTAGAAGCGCAATTATTGCTGTCGGTCAGTCTTGGAAGGGTTTTGAGGCCACTCTCAAAATATTTGGAATCGATTGTTCTACAGCGGGGGAAGAAATACGCATTAAAGGAAAAACACCGAAAACAGACTCCAATCTTTCCAAGAGTGGACGTCTCCGTCAGCTCCCCCTCTCCTTAAACTGAAGAGTTCAGATTTCAGAGGCTGCGGTTAGCATGCTGCACATTAACATTACGAAAGTACATTTTGGAAAATGAGTCCTGTTTTGCCAAGATAAAGCTTTTTCCTGTGTTAAAATAACCCGACACTGTGGCTCAGGCTCGTGAAGATGAGTTTAAGCAAAGGGAAAATGTCCTTCACACAGATATCTGCTCATAACTCTCACCGATAGACAAAATCAAAATCAAAACAAACGCAACGTTTCAGCGTGATCAAAAATCTGTTATAATAGGGGAGATCCGGGGGTGGAGAGCTGCTATTCTGGATCTGAGCGTGTTGCATCATCAGATTGACTTTTGCAAAGTAATCCAAAGGTAAATGTGAGATCATCTGTTTGACAGCCGAGGTTCGGGCCGGGTCACGCCAGAATGAACCCAAAAACTGCAGCCGTTTTACAACAGAGCGGCTAAAAATAGACAATAATCAATGCAGTGCTACTATGTCCCAAAATCCAAAACAAAATGCTTGGAGATGATCTAAAGAAATCTGGATGTTACCAAAGTATTTGTGCAACAAACCTCAGTGTATTTTAGTGGGATTTTATGTGTTGGAGCAAAATACACCAGTGCAAGATTTGTGCTTTTGAACCAACCCCAATCAGTCTGATACTCCTAAATAAAGTCAAGATAAATCAAATGAGTTCAGAAGTCGCATAATTAGTGGAGTCCACGTGTGTGTAATTTAACTAGAAGCTACAAAACAACTGCGGTTGAGGTTTTTGCCTTCCGCCAGAGCAAGAGTGGTCGGGTAAAAGTCCACGCGGGAAGACATGAAAGTTGTCATTCTCCACACTTTCTCT